ACGTTAAGAGGCTTTAGCTATGTAAATAATATTTTCTTCCATATCTGATCAACAGTGATTTTTGTATGTGTGTTTTGCTTTGCTTTTCCAGCAAATACGTAAACCCAGTAATTGAGGTGTCAGGCCTAGCAGCCTGTTAGGTGGATCATATAGTATTTATTCTGTCTTAATAATAATGTACCCAAAAAGGGATCACTTAACACTGACCTTGTAGTCATAGTTATCAAACAATCTGTATTTTGATTTTTTTTGAGTTAAGCAGATCAAACAGACTAGTCACAGTTGCTGCCGTATTTGTTACTCATGGGTGCTTGCCATTATTTTTGGCCAAATAACTTATTTAAAACAGTTTTATTTTTAGTACTGACTGTGCAGCCCGACATACAACCAGCAGTGGGGTGGTCTGTAAAGGATCTCAGACTACCAGTGTTTAGTGTCAGATACTATATTGTCTAAGGGCAGCTGGTCTTAAATACAAGTGTTTATTAAGAAGGCCAGCAAGCCTGAGTAGGACCATTCAGCATCTTTGAGTATTTTCCCATCTGCAAATAGCTATTTGGACACCAGCTGTGCTCTATTACTGAACTTTACTGAGCAATCTGACATAAGGCATAGGGGATCTGTAAGCAGTGTATTCTGATGTTCAAATGGTCTCCAGTTTTCTCTATCCCAACACCTCTTTGTGCCTCATTAACCTGTTCTGGAGTCATAAGCTTTCGGTTAGCTAAAGAATCTGTTAGTGTTTTGCTGGTGATGACTCCAATAGGTGCTACTTCTCACCTTCTCTCTCTCCTCTTTGCGAATCTCTGGAGCAGGAGACATCCAGGCTGAACTTCTGTGTTTTCAAACTGGTTTTTACCAGTAGCATCGCAGTACACCTTGACAGTTGCTCCAAGTAGTGGATTATGTCAACCTTGAATGTTGCCTGCTTTGTATCAAAGAGCCAAAATAATGCTGACAGGCTTGAGAGCAGCCAAGTTCTCTCTATTTTGTTCTTGAACTGAGCCCAGTGCCAGCACAAAGATTAATTATTCCCATTATGTCTTGGTCCTAAATCGGTAAATAAAACTGAAAAGGAGAGATGCCTAGGATATATGGTTCAGCATTGCAAATGCCTGGATTATTTGGTTCTGCCATGATCAAGAAATGTACTAGCTATAAATCAGCTGTTTTGTAATCGAGCTGTATAATATTTTATTAGGGTTTATACAGCTTAATTTGATGTTTAGTTGCTTAGACCTCTAGTACCAGTGCAAATTCTCCATCTGTGCAGTTGTACTAATGAAGTAAAGAACTTGGAATATATATATAATACATTATATTATACATGATTGTAAAATGACCTAACAGAAGTGCAGATAGCAGGATAATTCCCTTAGGCCTTTGGGCTCTAAAAATTATATATATATATTTTTTTTTTCCCCTGATGGGGAAGAGATGAGTGGATTTACGTGCTTGGCTACATAGAGCCCAAAGGCCTAAGGGAATTATCCTGCTATCTGCACTTCTGTTAGGTCATTTTACAATCATGTTGACAAAACCATACAATTTTTATCTTGGTGGTAAGACATATGCAATACATATAGATTGCCAATGTGCTTAAAAAATATATGCAATATAGGTCCATTTCTAGACTTTGGTCTTTTGGCTCCTTCAGCTTCCAAGGCACATAGTGGTTGAATGTTGTTGGCTTTTTTCTCTTGCTTCCAGCTGAAAAATACTGAACAGATGGTAGTGGGAGAAAAAATGACAAGGCAGTGCAGACAGTGTGATTAATTTATTGGGGGTTTAGGTGTTGTTTTTACTTTTGTGGGGTTTTGTTTGTTTATTTGTCTTTGTTTTTTATTTGGGAGGGTAGTGCACATGCTACAGAAAAAGTAGCAAAAATATACAGGTATGCATTGAGCATTGTTATCCATGCCTCAAAAATGTCTTCAGTTGCTGGAGGAAGATGTAGTGGGAAAGGAGCTAGTCTGCGCTACTATGTTTAGAAAGGGTTGCACCCATCAGGTAGCATTTCAGTGTTTCAGAGCTCTGCCAGATGGTGTTAGCTGTGAGAAAGTTCTGTGATTCATTTCGTAAAATGTTTGTTGTGGCAGATGAGGAGCTTCAGACTTGTAGGTCCAGCCAATGGTAGAAACCACCATTGGTCTCACCAGATGTGATGCTGGATATAAAGGAAACTTCTCATGATGCTACTTTTAAACCTGGTTGCTTTCTTCAATGAGATGCAATTGTAAATTGTTTTTGCTTGCAGCTCCATCTGAGGGTTCAGCAAACCTTAAATTTGCTATTTCAAAACCCTAAGAGAGCTACTTAGAAATATAAAAAAAATTCACTGAATTTTCCTTTGCCTTGTGTTTACAGTAACTGATCAAAGGAGAAATGAGTTTTCACTTAGATTAAATTCTCTCCTCCCCACTTTAGAACAAGAAGTAGGAAGATTAGCCCAGGAATGGGGTTTCTAGTAGAACAACAAAAAAGGGATGGGGGAAGGCTGGAATAACATTCTTAAAAAAACTCTCTGGGGACAAGAACTGCAAGGTAGTATTCTAATGATCTACACTAGCAAAAAAACCCTCCAAAACCTTTGTATAGCTCACTGTCAGTTTGCTGTTCAGAAATATTTATTATTCATTTCCTAGTTTAGTGTCTCAAAGTTCAAATCTGACCCTCCTTGCTGGTAATTAGGAAGCAGCAATGCTGTGAAGTAGGTCATAATAATTTCCTGAGGAATAATCTGGTAGCTGCATTGGGGAAAATGACTAAGCATCCTCAAAGGCAACATCACATAACATGTTATGTTACAGGAAGGGCACATACTGACAGAATGGATATATAGAGAAACACCACAGAAGCCTTTTAGTTTCCTTATAAGCTTTTGTAAGTTAAAGAAAAGTATGTCTAGGTTACAGATAATTGCAAATGCACTCCCCTCCCACCTGTAAATCTGAAAAAGCATGAAACCCATGGAATATCCAAAGCTATTTCAATTTACATAGTCAGAATCACCTATTCAGGAATAGGGCTTCTTGTGTCAAGAAGTGATTATGGAATAATTCTGCCTTCCTCAGCCTCAAGAGACAAGATATTCAACTTCAATAGTGCAAGTCAGGCTTTTAGCTGTGATAGGGTGTTTTTTGTGTTTGTGGAGGTTTTTGTTTGTTTTGGGTTGTTTGTTTTTTTTTTAGTGGGTATGTTTGCTTTTTGTTTTGTTTGGTGTGTTTTTTGTTTTGCCAGAAGTGTGTGTGTTTTTCTGTTGTGCAATTGACAGATGCCAGAGAACTTATGAAGTAAGTCTTCTGATCCCAGAATATTTTTATTGATGCTGTAATAAAGACAAGTGTATTTAAAAAGAGCCTGTGCCAAAGAGATACTTTGGACCTTAACTGATAGAAACCAGCACTGCTTTGCTGTCTTTAACAGATCTGTATCTGCTGACATCATTTCAGGATCCTTCTCAATCTAGTTGCAATATCTGTTTTCTTTCTGCATTCATTTATGTATCTTTCTTGCAATAAACCCATCAAATATGTATTTTATTATCTAATGAAAAAGTATGGGGACAAATAGCAAGATAACTTAGCTAGCTTGTCTGTACTGTATTTTGACCAGATTGTTTCTATTCATGTCATTTTGTCAGGCTTCTTGGTATGATGCATGCTGAATACTCAAGCTGCATAGCACTGGAGAAAGGAAAGCAGTAACACATGCATATTGTGTATGTACACATAACATATGAGTTGTATGTTAAATATCTGGTGTTAAAAGGGAAACAAGCATGTATCTTCTGTCAGCATACAGTTTTCACAAAGGGAAGCCTTCACTAAGTGGGACATGGTGAGTTTGGGATGATGTGTGAAAGAAATGGAACCATTGGTGATGGTATAAAACTTTAATGAGATGTACTGTTATTAGGATAACACTTCTTTATATTCCTTAAACTTAGTGTTTCCTAGCAAGATTGTATAACAGTAATAGAAAACTTACTCTTTTCTGAATAATAAGCAATTTTTGAGGAAATGGGTAATACTCTACTTTTTTTAAGGATAAATGTGTTCTCAGTACTTGAGATTTAAAATTACATTTTTTTAATAGCTGATCCTTCCCATTGAAAAGAATCAGAAGAACAACTTGGATATTTCACTTAGAAAACTGTATGTTAAATATTGTTACACTGAATGCCTAAACAATCTTATAGTGAAAACAAAAAGGTTAATTTTGTCCTGAATGATTTATTGTATGTACGTCTTTTGTGAAGGGATTAGAAAGCTGACAACATCTTTTGTGAAGTGATTAAAAGCTGACAACTTGACGACTGCTTTTGCTTAACCTGATGAAAGAAAATATTTTTAATTAATTTGCTTTATTGAGGCTAAAATAGAGCATTGCTCATGGGAATTTAATTTACTTGCAGCAAAAAAAAAAAGATATATAGCCTTCTCACCTCTAAACCTCACTTACAGATCAACCATACAGACATAAAAAGCACACTGAAAAGTTCTTGTCAATGCTGTATTTTATTATTAGTTGGTAAAAGATTATAACAAAGGAGCTGTTGATTTTTACCATAGGAGCATATTGGCTCTTTTGTTCTCTTTGGCATCAACTGATTAGCTTGGTTTGTTCTCAGAACGATTGCATGGAAACGGTTGTTTTCATGTATTGTTGCTCTATGCCAGGATTTCCTTGCTTGCTAAATTGGATGCTATGAAGTTAGAGTTGAGGCAGAAATAGCATTGATTCTTGGGAAAACACACGGACCTCCTGAGATTCTGTACTGTCATTTATTCATCTGCTTAAAATTAATGTGTCCTAAATATGTAGGTATTATATGAAGACTTGAGAATTACCAAAGCATGTGGAAATATTTCCATCAGAAAACACATGTAAAATGTAGTAGCTTGCTCCCTTTTCTTAGAGCATTAGTGACACCCAGTGGTGATATTCTGCTATGGACAATCTAAGCTTTTTTTTTTCCCGTATAAAAAACTGGAGCTCAGAGAACCTATGGGAAAGCTGTTTGAGATCCATGTCCCTTTGTTAGGTATGTATTTTGCTCGTACTTTAGTTTCACAAATTTGAATAAACTTAAGTAAAGAGATTAAAGGGGAAAAGAAGCACTTAAAACTTGATTTGAAATGGTTCTCACTTTATCACTGACTTAATGACAATGGGGAAAGTTTTCTGTGCTTCCCTACATCCCCTTTTTTTTTTCTTTCCATATTTTTAAAATGGTGCACTGTAACATTTTATTTATTCTTCCACTGGTTTAAGTAACTATACAGAAAACTGGGTTTACTATTTTAACACGACTGTCATCCCCCTTTTGTACCCTGCTTGTTTTGCTAGGACTTGATTTGTTGTTTTGCAACTACATTTAATAAGTGATGAATGTCGGCAAGGTATTTTGAGATTATGGGTCCACTGTTGCCTATTCAGAAGCAAAATTTACTGTTGAAGTCACTGAGAGTTTTGTCCTACTAAGTTCCTTAGGATTAATTTCTTTCTGTTGTTGTTGTTCAACATGTAGCAAGAGGTTTTAGTGTTTGTCTAAATACTCAGGCTTGGAAACAAGCCTTCTAAATATGGGTGGTCCCCAAGGTATGATTCTAACAGAGGATATGAAAAGGCCGGGCAGCAAGACTTCATACCTCAGGGACATACAAAGATGATATGCTCTTACTAGTACCTTTCTGGGCTTTAGAAAGTTGCATTAAGAAAGGAAAGGAAGACTTGAGAGAGATGGAGGGTAGGTGGGGGGAAGAAGATAATCTAATGCATGTAGAACCTTAGGTTATGAACCTCTTTGTGTTCAACTAGGGGATGATGTAAACTTTAAGCTTCATGAGGAAGATCTGGGTACAATTCCTTACTTTTACATGTACTTGGGCAAGTCATATAGGTCTAAATACATCTTCATCTGTATAGTGGTGATTCTGGTGTTTTCTTCCTCTTCAGAAGAGATATGCTGTAGATTAGTATTTTTTTTTTTTATGGGAGCCAGGGCAGTGCAGTATGCAGGTGCAGAAAGCCTGTTGGCATTGACTGTAATTAGGGTAAAATCCTACTTTCTTCAAAGGCAGGCATCATTTACCAAGCATGTCAAACCCAGCAGCTTCTTCTGTCTCCATTTTAGAAGGTATGCTGAGCTAGCATGATTTATGACCTTACTTCAGTGTCATTGCCTTTGCATGAATTTGTTCAAAACTTCTATTCCCTTTGTTTCATAAAATGAAACATGGGTATGTTTCTTGCCTGGAAGTGTGCTGGTCCTTTTTCTGAAGGTGCTAAGGGTAATTAGAGAGTTTGACTGCCCTTCTTCAGCATCTGTTTCCCAAGAGATTCTGCTGTGAAGGTGCTGGTTTGGCTCTTGCAATGAGCAGCAAAAGGAACTGACTGTAAACCTGAAAATAGTCACTCAGCACTCTTGAGCATGTAGTATCTACAGCCTTTACTGGCCAATAATTCCAATACACACAATATTTCTGTGTAATATTGATCAATTTAGAACAGCTGATATTTCCATTCAGGGTGGCTAGTACTCAGCTTATGATTGCAGAGGAGAATCCATGAAATTGAAATGAGACCAGTGGTGGAATTGATTTTCTTGTATCTGTCTTTCTTTATCAAGGCTTGAGCTGAAATATTAAAATATAATGTTGGGATTTTTCAGATGCATGCATTTAACTACAGAATATATTCATCATATCTCCCAGAGAAATGAATAATACCATGAGGAGCTATTTAATCATGAGCATGGAGATTGCTCTGCAGATTGCTGTACTCTGACAGTGCCAGTCAAGATGGAATAAGAAAAATTATGCTGGGAAACAAGGTGTCAGGTTTATAGTTACTTAAAACCAGTAAACATAGTCTGTACTTTCTTAACAACAGAGAAATATGTACAGAGGGAAGCAACAACATCTGTTCTTATTAACTAAATTGAACAATACAAAATTAGAAGTATAATTTACAGTTCTTTGCGTAATGTCTCATGTTATCAATACTGGGAGATACTTTTGCTGAGGAGACTGGAATTAAGAATATTCTGTTGGAGACTGAGTTACTTAACTCTCTTTCATATTTAAAGTATTGAGCATATATTCAGTTAGGCTATGAAGCTTGGTAGGCAGTCGCAGGCAGCCAGCTCCAAACGTCTAAAAGCTCATTATTTTAAGCCTAATCTGTGTTTTAGTGGTTCTTCTTTGTGTAGTTGCATAATGTATTTTGTTTTGCCTCTGGATAAAGTTCAGCTGGTATCAGCTGAACTTGTGAAGGTGTGACATATATTGTGTATATGTGTTCCAGTGTGACAGCATTAACATAGTTGTGATGAAACATGTTTCTTTCACATAGATGTGCTTAAGCTACTAGCCTTTAGCTTATAGATGTGAAGGTTCCTATGCACAAAAGGAATTTTAGTGGAAGAGATGGTGCCGTGTGGAGCCTGCTTAAAGACAAGAGACAAGTGAATGGAAGAAGATCAAGTGAGAGATTAAGTGTAACAACATGCCAGCACACCTCAGCAAGATGAAGCAGCGATGCTTCACTGTGACAGCTATAGGACTTTTGTTGCTCAGTGTGACATTTGAGTGTTACAAAGACAGTCTGTGTTCTGATTGTCTACAAATCCCATCTGCTTTAGTGACAGGTCTTCCAAGGAAGGACTTTATAATTGACATATCTGCCTGCTGTTGTTCACTTGACATCACCAAAAGAGCATGGTGATGTCTACAGTAATGAACTGAAAGCCCACCAGTTTTGTGGGCTTAACTGTTTTTGCCTTATTCAGCAGTTGAGTCTAGGTATGTACTGGGAGAATATAGATACAAGGCAAAGTTTGGATGGGAGCACAGGTAGCACACAGTTAACGCCATTAATGAAATTATATGGTTTGCTCTGGCTGATTATATATACACTTAGTAAGTTTAAGTCAGATTTTAATCTCTCTAAATAAGCACCTTTACAAATCATGGCTGATAAAAAAACTTCTGTAAACTGACATGGGAATTTCTTCTGCTTTTGCGTGGAAAAACCTACTGCTGAGGGGATGGATCTAAAATTCTTGATTAGGCTCAGCTTTTTAGAAGAATGGAGCATGGATAGGATAGACTTTAGGAGGCAGTCTGCACCCACAAAAGCCAATGGTAAGAAATAGAGGAACATCCACGTGAGGAGGAACAACTGCTAGAAGCTGTAGGCATGTTCAACAGCACCTCTGCAGTAGCCACTTTCTCTTTAATATGGTACCACACCTGAGTAGCATGGTCTGAATATAAGAAGGTTGTAGGTTATTTCGAGAATTTACTAGACTCTACGAAAATTTTAAGTCTTAACAAATGAACACTCAGAACATAGGTTTTTTTTTTTATGCCTTGTCATTTAATTTGTTTTACAAATCAGATGTAGACACCAGCCAATAGACATGAGGTTGGTACCAAGGATCCAATTTTCAAGCAGTGGTATCTTCTGCTGAGAAGTGTTTACAGTTTCTTGGCGCTAGTAGGCAGATAAGGGAAATGGTTGAGGCAGTGTGGTGTTTGTGGAGGTTTTTTTGTTAGGTTGTTTTTCCAAACTGTTCACTTTTGCATAGAGGGAGTGTTTCAAAAATTGCCATCCCAGAGTATGTATTTCAAAAAATGTGTGTAAGAAATGAGATGTGTAAATAGAATAGGTGGAGTCATTCTGATGGGTTGGGGTGAACGCAACACAGTCTTTTCAAGTTGTTTGAATTTTAAACAGCTGTTTGGTTTGATCTTGAATAGGCCATTTCATTTTGTTATTCCTGTTTTTGGATGTAGAAACTTCCAGTCCTTATTGTAGTAAGAAGAAACACATGTGCATGGAAATTGGATTGGTTACCTTGTATTTGAAACTATTTTTCCTTCTTTTTTTCTGAATTCATACTACTGAGGGGCAAATTAAATAAGTTACACCACAGTAAAAGGGGAAGAATGACGAATACGGGTCTTGATCAACCTGTTAGCTCACTTGTATTCATGAAAATATTCATTATTCTCAGTTCATATTTGCTCAAATTAATAATTTTCAACATGAACAATTCTGGAAAAGAAAAATGGGCTGAACTTAGCAAAGTATTTATTTACTACAAATACTAGTAGGTTTGATTTCAGATGAATAGAAAAATAGAAAACATAACAGTCCACTGCCAGAGACTGCTGCAGTATTTTGTTACATTTAATATGTATTTCTCAATGTTAGGTTATAAAATTACAGGTTTATGTATATTTTGGAAATACTAACACTTGCAAAACACCACATTAAATTGAAGATAAATGTGCCTGTGATAAAACTAAAAATCAGCCTTAGGAGTTAGAGGTGAAGTAGTCCTTAGAAAAATTAAAAAATTCCCAAACTGTTGATGCATACACCATCTCTCACTGGAGTTAATAATTATGCAGTGAGCTCTGCTGCTGGTTCCGAGTTGCTTCTGTGCACGATATGAAAAAAAAGGACAAAACCACAACAAAATGAGATTTAGACGTGCATAGTCAGAGATTTACCCAGCATGAGAGTAGCAGCTGAGTGCACAAGTACTTTTATGGAGAAAAAAAAAAGCTCCAGATTAAAAAAAGTAGCCTAGGAAGCAAAATGATGACACTTGCAATTGAGGTAACATTTATACATATTCTGCAATTAAATAATATAGTCGGCAAATAGTTTGTATTTTAAATATTTACTGAAACTGTTGAAAAGCACCTATCAACAGGACAAAATCTATTAATGTGATGTATCTCATCACACATTCTAGCATATTTTACAATGGTGTCAGGGAAAAGCTCAGCAACTTCTTTATATTGGAGCTTGATCCAAAGCCTGTTTAAATTAGAAAGATTGATTAGTCATTTTATAAGACTGTCTTTTATACTTTAATTTCTGGCATCACCCCAGAAATTAAAAGCTCTAAAAATACTGTTTTACGAAAGCTGTAATTGAAATACAGTATTTGAATAGCATATTACTTATTTGAATGGAAGGGCTGCCAATATAATATTCTCTTGAAAATAATCATGCTTGTAATAAATAGAGTGCTTATACAGCTTTGCTAAATGGATTGAACTGCTAACAACTCATGGTTATTTTAAGTTGCTCAAAAATGACTCCTTGAGAAAAAGAGCTGAGTCAAAGGAGACCATCTCTTCTTTTTTGTTTTTCCCCTGGCCTTGCTTTAAGGTAAAATCCTTTAAGAAGAGGTCATCTACAGGAAATGTTCAGTTACTACTTGGGAGAAGATCTGTGCTATTTATGCAATTTGAAAAAGATTGCTTTGAAGGAAAAGATATAGCAAATTGTGTGATTGATTTTTTTTATTTTTTTTTTATTTTTTTTTCTTAATATATCTCATGAAACTTTGGAGTGATGTATGGAAACAAGTTATTGTAAAAAAGCAAATCTGAAGTAAGGAAACATCTTGATTTTTTTTTTTTTTTTTTTTTTTTTTTTAAGAGCTGTACATCATTGCTGGGCTCAGAAGACATTCCATGAAGAAAAAGGTTGATGAAAGTTCTTGTGTGTTCAGTTCTTGCTGTAATAAGACAGCAGAAGTGAAAAGAATCTTGATGCTTTTGACAGTCTCAAGAGAAGCTTGAGGCATAGCATAGGACAAATTTGAAAGCTTCTGGATTGTTACTTTCAGTCCAGCTTAACCCACAAGATCTGGATGGTACAGAATCCCAGTCATCCTTGATGCTCCTTTTCCGTTCCCCTCCTTGCCAATACTTATGCTGTGTCTTCACACATTTAGGTGACCATTTCCTTGCTAATGAATGTTGCAGAAATGAGTCATCATCTTCATTTGAAGAGTTTGCTTTTATTTTTTTCCTTGTGGAAATTGTTAGGTCATTGTAGCTGACAGCCATAGTCAGCATAGGGACTTATTGGGAAACGCAGGAAAAGATTAGAGCAGCTGTGTTTCTCAGGTACTGTTTTAAGTTTGTTTTTTTCTTTTTTTTTTTTTTTTTTTCCTTGGGTTTATATGCATTGGTCAAAGATCTATGGCAGCCTAATGCATGCTGTCAAAGCACTTAAAATGTTTAATGAGTTTTGATTCCCAGTCCAATACCTTACTTGAATGAAACTGGTGATGTCATTTGAAAAAGGAGACTGCCCTGAAGAGCAGCTATAACAATATATCACATTTTAAAGTGGCAGAACAATACTGGTTGCTCTTATATTCTTTATTTGAAAACTGTAAAATTCTAACCTCCCAAATGCTGCAGAGAAATCTGCCACCTGGGATTTGCTCCGAGACAGCCCTGAGGAGATATCCCCTACTCTGAGGTTTCCTTTTTCTATTATTGATTGTGCAGCTGTGTGTGAAACTTGCAGGGTAATTTGTTTCCTGTTCCTCTCTGGTTTGGTTTCCTTTGCATATTTCTGTGGATATTATCTCAATTTTCAGATCTTCTGTGTTATTTTTTTATGTTCCCCTACCTATTTCTCCTGAGTTGAATGAATCTCTGAAAACTTTTCATTTGTTGTTGTTTCTTATTTTCCAGTCACTCATCATATATGTCCAAAATTCATCAGTTGAAACTCATTCTTAAGAGCCCTTGCCTGGATTGAAAAAGTAATGATTCCAAAGGTGCTGACATTCGTTGTTGTTCACAGGGACAACTTCTGGTATTGCTTACATGTTCTGGGTGGAGCTTGTTTGCCAGAAGGCAGTCTTCCGCGGGTCAGTTGCTTGCAAAGGAAAGCCATCAATTCAGGCAGGTTTTAAAATGTAGTTTTGCAGTGTTTAATGGTTATTGCTAGACAAGATTTTTACTTTAAGGCTTCTGGTGCAGAGATCAGCTGGCTTAAGTTGAAGAGGATCACTATGCTAAATACTAGTTAGCATTCATCTGAAGGGTCATGGTAGTCTGTGATAGAAAACTGTGAATGTGTCAGTAGGAGCTGAGGCATTGACATGTGGTAGTCCATACTGTTTAACTGTTTGC